ACACCAAGTTCTCAAAGTGTGATTTTTGGTTATGAGAGGTCCAGTTCCTTGGATATCTCGTTAACTAAGAAGGGATTTTGGTCGACCCGGCCAAGATCGAGGCGGTTATACAGTGGGAGGTTCCGAAATCCCCCTCAGATATTAGGAGCTTTTTAGGATTGGCAGGATACTACTGGAGGTTTATACAAGATTTCTCTAGGATTGCAGTACCCCTCACTCGTCTCACGAGGAAAGGGATTGATTTTTGGTGGGGTCCCGAACAGCAGGGAGCGTTTGAGACCTTTTGTCAACGTTTGTGTGAGGCACCAGTCCTGACACTCCCGGAGGGAGTTGAGGATTTTGTGGTGTTCTGTGATGCATCCATCACAGGGTTAGGGGTGGTCCTTATGCAGAGAGGATGAGTGATAGCATACGCGTCGCGACAGTTGAAACCACACGAGGCGCGATACCCTATGCACGATTTGGAGCTGGGGGTAGTGGTGTTCTCCCTCAAGATATGGAGATATTACCTTTATGGGGTCTGCTGTACCATTTACACAGATCACATGAGCTTGAGACACATATGGATCAGCCAAACCTAAACATGAGGCAGCACAGATGGCTCGATGTAGTCAAGGACTACGATTGCGAGATCCTTTATCACCCTGGTAAAGCAAATGTGGTTGCGGATGCCTTGAGCCGCAAGTTGGCTGGGTCTTCCACTTCGGCAATATGTATGAAAATAGTTGTGGATTCCCTGCTTGTGAGCTTGATCAGGGATTCCCAGATAGAGGGCATGCGACCGGAGAATTTAAAGAGGGAGAGGATCAAGGGTGAAAACACCAGGTTCGTGCAGGATAGTCGGGGATTACGGACCAGATATAGTCGGGTTTGGGTTCCGATGTCTGGTGGGATCAGGCAGATGGTTATGGAAGTGGCTCATAAGTGTCATTTCTCCATCCACCCAGGAGCCACCAAGATGTACTGGGATTTGAGTTTGAGCTATTGGTTTCCGGGTATGAAGCGCGAGATTGCGTGGTACATCGAGGGGTGCTTGACCTGCAGGATGGTCAAGGCCGAACATCAGAGGCTACATGGCAAGCTGCAACCCTTGGAGATTCCCATGTGGAAGTGGGAGCAGATCACGATGGACTTTATCACCAAGCTGCCAAAGACGGTGAAGGGGTTTGATGTCATTTGGGTGATTGTGGATCGATTGACCGAGAGTGTTCATTTCTTAGACATACGTGAGAGTTTTTCGGCCGAGAAGTTGGCCGAGGTGTACGTTCGTGAGATTGTGTCTCGCCATGGGATTCCCGTTTCCATTGTCTCAGATCGAGATGTCAGGTTTACCTCCCATTTCTGGCAGAAGTTTCATGAGGAACTGGGCATGCGAGCGCACTATTCTGACCCTCGAAGATATGCTGAGGGCGTGTGCCATCGACTTCGGTGGGAGCTGGGATTCTCACCTACCGCTTGCAGAGTTCGCCTTCAACAACAGCTATCATTCTAGCCTTTGCGCCCCGCTATTCGAGTTGTTGTACAGGCGGAGATGTCGCACCCCGATTTGTTGAGGCAAGGTGGGTCACAGGGTAATGGACCGTATGGAGATGGTTTTGCAGACGACCGAGAAGATTCAGCAGATCAGACAAAGGTTGCAGACAGATCAGAGTCGAAAAAAAAAGTTACGCCGACAGACACCGATCTGAGTTGTAATTTCAGATAGGTGATATGGTACTCTTGAAGGTCTCACCGTGGATGGGTGTGATCCGTTTCAGAAAAAGGGGGAAATTGGGCCCTCGATATATTGGGCCATTCAGGATCATTTCCAGGGTTGGCAAGGTGGCTTATAAAATAGAGCTTCTGGAGGAGCTTAGTCGGATCCACAATATTTTTCATGTATCGCAATTGCGAAAGTGCATTACAGACCAGGAGGTTGTGGTATCATTGGATGATGTTCAGATCGACGAGTGCCTGAACTATGTGGAATGGCCTGTGGCCATTTTGGAAAGGAAGATGAAGATTCTACGGAACAAGGAAATACCCTTAGTAAAGGTACAATGGGAACATCGGAGGGGATCCTAGTGGACATGGGAGTAAGAGGTGGATATGCGTGAGCACTACCCGACATTGTTTATTCCAGCGGACTTCAGGGGCGAAGTATGGTTCAAGTAGGGGAGAGTTGTAACACCCTGATTCTCAGGTATTGTTCAATTATAGTTTCTTGGTTTTGGCCATACTCGTAGAGTTGGTTGCCGTACTCGTCGAGTAGCAGCGGGCTTGGATCGCAAATTAAGTGACTGACTTGGTAAGTCCACTAGTGGGACTCGGCGAGTAGGAGTTGGCAAGTGAAACCCTATTCCTGGGGTTTATGTCCCTATTTAAAGGAGCCTTAGCCTCCCTTGGGCCTCTTTACAGTCTTAGAGAGTCCCTGAGAGGTCTGATTCGAGTGTGTGTGCTTTGGTGAGTGTGTGAAGCTTGATTTGAAGATTTTGAAAGAAGAAGGCTTGAAGGAAGAGGAGGTTGGAGCAAGTAAGGTGGGGAAATCAACGCTATTCTCTGTTGTCATCTTCCAGAGGTATCCTAAATCACCATCTCTTCTGTGATTTTTGCTTTTTATGAAGTTCTAAGGTTTTCTATGGACCTTAAGGGTTGATAAGTTGAACAATGAGTTGGATCTGAAGTTGTAACTTCAGATATGAACCCTCTCCAAGCTCTAGCAACATAAAGTTGCAGAATTGATCATGTATGAGGTCCCTCTTGGGCATAAAGCTCCATTAAGAGCTTAGATTTGGCATTTAGAGCCCTAAAAGCAATGCATGTACGTAAAGTTTGTGACTTTACATGATAAGTATGCCATAAAAGCCTAGTTTTATGAATTTGAGCCACTGCATGGATCAGAATAAGTCTGTATGGAAAGAGGACCGGACGGACTCAGCGAGTCACAAGGATGACTCGACGAGTCTGATGAAGAAAGCCGTGAGCTCGACGAGTTAGATGAACAACTCGGCGAGTCGGATGAATTTCACCCAAAGTTATCCGCACATGTGTACCCATCGAGTTTCGTTTAGGAAACCGACGAGTGGCTTTAGAATTCAGTCGAGAAACGACGAAAACTCGATGAGTCACTTGATGACTCAACGAGTGCACCGGAAGCTAAGGAAACACGACGAGTAGCCGAGGGAACTCGACGAGTCAGGTCAACATGGACTGTTGACCTCGACTGTTGACTTGGACCATTGACCCAGGTTGACCCTTTGACTTTTGAGGACAGTTCTAGAAGGATCAGAAACTTATGTATACAATTCGTGACATATATAGGTGGTGGAGTTCGTGACAGTGACCCGAGGGTTGGAGCTTATTTCTATGAGTCGACGTTGCAAGGCGAGTTATCCTCATTATACTAAGGGGTCTAAGGCACCAAGGCCGGCCCATTAGATTTCATATCCCAGTAGTTATTGATATGATAAGTTGAGTCAGTAATGTATTCCAGTTGATATGCTAGTCGTGTAGATCTGTAGGACTGCCTGTGACATTGATTGATTATCTATATGTGCATTTATCTGTTACATGTCGACATGTTATGTGGGGTGGGTTGAGGTTGTACTGCTCCATGTCGTAGCCAACAAACCCGAGAGTATTCTAGATATGAGCAGAGGGCCCGATAGGCATTCCAGACTCATACTGAGGACTTGAGAGCATTCCAGATACGAGCTGAGGGCCCGGTAGGCATTCCAAACTCGTACTGAGGGCTCGATGGCATTCCAGATATGAGTTGAGGGCCCGGTAGGTATTCCAGACTCGTACTGAGGGCCCAGGGGTAGTCCAACTTGTAAAGCTGTGGATCCAGTGCATGCTGTTCTGTTTTATTGATATAATATGCTAATGTTGATATCGCTATGTGAACTGTACACTACTAGAAAAACAGTCTTTTATGACGCTCATTGCGCGTCGTAAATGGCTCAGACGACGCGTAAATGCGCGTCAAGGAAGGCCATGTCATAAAGAGAGACGACGCGCATTTATGACGCTCATTTACGACACGCAATTATGACGCGCGTTTACGACACGCAATGCATATCAAGGAAGGCCCTGTCATAAACGAAGACGACACGCATTCGCATGTCGTAATCTTACGACGCGCGTGTTAATGACACGCAATGTGCATCAAGAAAGCCCCTGTCAAGAAAGTCCATGTCATAAATAAAGATGACACACATTTTTGCGTATCATAATTTTAAAAGTTAAAAAAAATATTATTTATAGATTTACTAATTTTCAGATTAAACTTGTATTTAATGTCTCATAATAGAAAATAAAATATCATATACAAAAATACAATCCATTGCATAAAATTTAATGTTATACAAATAATCGTTCCATGGAAAGATAAAACAAATCAATAGTTGTAACAAAAATTTACAAACTAATTAGATACAAGAAATATAAATAAATAAGCAAAAATGTGTGTCATTTAAATGTTAAACAAAAATTATACATTGCTAACATAGGTTATACATTCCTATAAAACTAACAGCCCTCGGTGACCTTGATCTAGATTGAGGTCCACTTGAATCGATGGCGACGATTGGATTTTAGATACACGACATATATGATTATTGACCTAAGACCTTGTGCAACCACAACACGTTTTAGTGTCTCAAGGGATAGTATACTTCCTCCTTGCCATCCAATAGCTTTCATTAACAATGGAACCAATGCTTAGTATGATTTCTCCTGCATGTTGTTGACATTTCTTGAAAAATATTAGAAAAGAAATTTATGATCTTATGATCTTAATATACCTTCACATCATCAGATGCATCTTGTAAGGACCTAAATATATGAGGGAAGAACTAATTATTTAACCTCTGTGATAGGGGTGTCAACAACCCTGTCAGGTCTATACTTATGTAACAATCTTTTTGTAATCTATCTAAGCATAATAAAACCCAATATTTAAGACCAAAACACTCACAAACTTGATAGATCAAGTGGAATGCTTTTGAAATTCTAACCTTCTATGCACCCTGGTATTCTCCAACCTGGACGTCACAAAATTAAAGATGAGGCTTATAGCAAAAGACTCTCTAGATATGTAATGATAAAAATAGTACTAGCTAGTTACCTCTTCACCCATGATAAAGATACTAGAACCAGCAGCCATTTCCTCAACAAGAGCAGAGTTCAAAGCATCTTTTACTGTCATCTGCAAAAACATGAAGTTAAAGCTATATATGCCAGTTTCTCTAAAACCTTATTTTAGCACTATGCAAAGGTCTACTAGTGTTTAAATCCCCTTTTGGTTCAATATGATTGATATGTTAAATCATAAGAATCCATATTACATCTTTGGTTGTAGACGAGAAATGTCTCATGGCTGATGCGATAGGGCTTAATCTATTTAGGGCTAAAACTGTAAAATAAAAATAAATAAATAAATAAATAAATAAAAAGAAAATTGAAAATAGGTATAACAACTTACTTGAGATGACAGTTGCACCATCCGATTCAGGAAGCATGGCACGATTGACCATGTTTTAAAAGAGATGCACCAAACAGATTTGTTGACAATGTCATCAGCCTGAAGTAAAAAGTGAAATGGTTTTTTACTGCAGACACCATTAATAATAATAATAATAATAATAATAATAATAATAATAATAATAATAATAATAATAATAGTAATAATAATAATAATAATAATAACAATAACAATAATAATAATAATAATAATAATAATAATAATAATAATAATAATAATAATAATAATAATAATAATAATAATAATAATAATAATAAGTCAAAATGGATGACTTACACATTTCCCATTGAGGTCATCCCCTGCAAAACCCCACAGTTCCAAGATTACTTCCCAACTCACGCATTACATCCATTGACATTTTTTCTTCACTTCTGTTTCGTGTTTCAGCTTGCTACCATCTCTAATGCCCCATAAAATAGATGACAAGAATATGAACTCCAAACCAAGGAAAATAACAGCAAAGGACATTACCAGAATGATGTTGATCTGCCATATGAGAAGCATAACAAGGATTACTAAGACGGTGGTCATCATCATCACTCCGACCTCTGCAACTCTTGTATTATTTATTTATAGAAAATGAAGTTATTTATATATTAAAGAGAACTGTGAAATTTTTTGAAGATAAATATACCATATGCAGTTCCAATATCATCAGTGCTTGTAATGAAAGTGACAAGAAGAAGGGCAGCAGCCAAGAGAAACCAGTTCATAACTGTAATATAAATCTGACCCATGAATTTGCAAGAAGTGTGGATGATTTGAGGTGAGGAAAACAACCAAGGCCTAGTGACTATTTGCCACCCAAAATTGGCAGTAAGGCAAACAGTAAGCCAACAGCACAATCTTGTCAAATACCAAAACAAGATTAAAAAAAAATTATAAAATAGGTCATAAGCATTTCTTTGTTTCTGAATATGTAAAATAATTACCTGAAAAATGAGCGTCCCTATAGTGACCTGACCATTAAGAGCATTATTACTGTTTTTCTTAACTAAAAGTTTCACCACCTGTATAGAAGGAAAAAGTAAATATAATAATCTCACTAACTATAACAACCTAGAAGTTAGATAGACTAGAAAAACATTTAGGTAACAAACAAACCACTGTAGTTGATGACATTGACATGAAGCAACCAACAAAAACATCATCAGACAACCCTGCTCCACATAACTGTAACCCATCATTAAATTAAGAAAATAATCATTCACTCAATTGAAACCATGTAAATAAATTAAGATCTGCTAAATAATATCTAGGGGTACACCTTGGAAAGATAAAAGTCCTTCACCTTCACCTTTCTAATCCTTTGACTTTCTACTTGAGAACTGATTCTGGTCTTCTAAGTCAATGCTTGACATGGAGCTAGAGGGTAACACAGGAGCATCACTAGGAGGAATTGCTGACATGGAATAGCTTCTGAAGTGTCCAAATGAAAAAATAAGGGATGCTAATGTGGCGGAAGGGTTGACTTTTTTTTGATGAGGAACAGATGCTTGAAGAGTTCATTTGAGGGGAGGGGGGTTAATGAAGGAGATGGAGAGGGAATGAAATTTTTTAAAGGGAGTAACCTTTTTAATAAATCTCCACATGGATCTTGACTTGAGGGAATTATGGATTCTGTAGCTGTGTGATTTCTAAAACTGGATCTTTTAAACAGTCTACACCAATGTTTACCTGTAAAAGCACCTGCATCCTTCCAAATAAGAAAATGGAATGCAAATCAGTAATGATTATTTGCTTCCTTTGTTTGGATGAATGGAAAGGAATAGAATAGCAAATGAAAGGAATGGAATGGAATGAAACATTCCATTCCTTCTCCGATTCAATCATACCAAACACAAAACAATGAGATAATTATAATAAACAAGGAATGGAATGGAATGCAACTCCACCAGAAGTACTTCCATCAAGACTTCTCTAAACGTTTCCTGTGTTTTTCTTTTTGACCAAAAGTGGCTCATCTGACTCAGCAGTTCGAGAAAAAAATTAGGAATTCCTAAATCTCTGCAGAATCATTTCGGTTTGTCTTCTGTGATCTTGCATTCTGAGAAGACATTCACCAGTGGAAAGATCCTTTTTTGGGTCAGTATTTTCCTCCTAAATGTCATTAGCATTTTGAGTTGTAACATGTGCATCAGGACTTGTAACTGTAGAAACAGGGGACCCATTGGCCTCACCGTTTTGCTTTTTGGCATTTGGGCCTATGCCATTTTTACTGATTACTTCAGCAACCTTGAAGGGTGTAATGCTAGTATATGAACCTGTTCTCCTGTAAACAAGAAAAAATGTAGTATTTTATATGGATAAGAAAGTCAGAGCAGTTATATTTAGGGGAATGTAATTATCATTGATTGAAATGACAAATTACATGGAAAAAAAAATTCTTTTTATAGATAAAAAGATTGACCTCTATAGCTCTATGTCTAAAACTAAATCCAAGAAGAGATTTAAGAAAGAATGTTTACTTAGGAAAACAAAGGGGCGATCAAATGCTATAAAAGATAGCATATTGGTTCTTCATTCCAACAGCTAGGAAGTTCCTCTGCAAAAGTGATGAGCACCAATTAATCAATTATAAATCAGTATATGGTACATTTAAAAGATGCATACACATAAGAAAACTTTTTTCATCATGTAAGAGAGCACATGTTGCCGACATATCACAAATTCAGACATCCATTTCAATAGACAATAGCCACACTCCTGATTATGCGAAAGTTAAGCATGACAAGGTTTAATTTCATCTAAATATTGATAAACCACATACGTATGAACTATGAAGATGACAAATATTCTCATACACACCTGACTAGTCTCATTACAGACATGTCCAATTAAACTATAGGCTACCAATGTTACAGAATTAGCATAGTTACTAGACTAGATTATTAATTTCAGTTAATTCTCAGTTGGTGTTTTATTTTCACTCAATATCATATTATCTCACTGTGAATATATTGGTTTTTCAGTTTAACAAATTTCATTAAACATTTCAAATAACGATTCAAGATTATCTGAATGAGAAGAGCAATACCATCCTAGTTGAGTTAATCAAGCGTTGTGCCAATAAACAAAAACACTAGATATAAAAATGAAGAAACCCTAGTTAATGTGACTCCTAAGATTGAGAGACACTAATTGATTTAGGCCCTAAAATTAACAAAGAAGTTGTGCTAGCATCCATGCTTGTACAAGGAGATTAGAGAACTAACCAGTGAGTGCATACTCAGGAGCTAAGAAATTGATGGTGCCTGCTACGCGTGTATGCAAAGAATCAAGAAAAGAAACATAAAAAAAGAACTTAATTAATCGACTAACAAGAAGACTTACTGGTTCAGTGATTTTATCTATATCAAAAAAAATTATTTCAACCTTTTACAAAGTCAAAAGCGTCAAAACAAAATAAAACCCACCGATATTAGAATATGAATGAAATAGGGCTCACCCGAATATGATATCTATCCATTCATGTAAATGTGCAGAGACATGCTCACTCTCAAGAGCCATGTGATCATTATGCACAAAATCAATAGGGATTTCGGCACAAGGAGGAAGCTTACCACAATCTGAACATCGATGGTCGGCATGAGCGACGATTGAACATCGATAAAGACTTACATAACAGATGAACCTTCGATTAAACCTTCGATAGACTTGAAGATAAAGACTTATAGTTGCGGAGATGGTCGACAATTGAACATCGATGGTCGGCATGAGAGGAAGTCGAGCAAAACCAGCAAATCGATCGAACAGGGAGACCAGATTGAGGGAGGGTTGTGTGATACGAACTCAAAACCTTAGTTCAAGCAATAATAGATTTTGTGGCCCTATGAATGTAAAGTGTTTGATATATTGTGAGAAATGAAGCGATAGAGATCGAGCTATGGAGGATGTGGGTCATTCTTTGAGGGATGAAAAAAACCCTAGTTTCCTAGACTTTGCGAGGACGATCGATCTACGGAGGATGTGGATCATTCTTTGAGGGATGAAAAAACCCTAGTTTCCTAGACTTTGTGAGGACGAGGTTTTCCAGTTTTTAGATTCCTGCAAGGTATTAAGGAGTGGCGGAGAAGCAGATCGGAGAGAGGAGAGAAGGAGGGAGAGGGGAGAGTAGTAGACTGCAAAGATGAAAGATAGAAAGAAGGCAGAAGATGGGTTTCAAAATTTTGGGGATTTCCTTTCCCCCTCTACTAAACCCGCGTTTCATTAAAATTATAAAGTGACGGGTATAGTGGACGCGCGTTAAAAATAAAGCACCCTCCGTGTTTTTAATTTCTTTTCTAGAGACATTAATTTAAGGGCACTCAGTAATGCGCGACCTAAATCCTTAAATTTTTTGAAGAGATGACACTTTTTTAATGTCGCTCTCTAATGCGTCACATAAATCAAAGAGCGTCGTGCTTTGCGCGTCGTAAAAGGGTCTTTTTCTTGTAGTGGTATGTGTATCGGTATTTTGGGGTATCTCACTATGCTTTCGGGCTTACAGTTTTAGTTTATTGTTTCAGGTACCTCAGGGGATGGCGGCAAGGCCAAGGCGTGATCGTACCGCTCCTCCTCTTATATCATGTTTCTAGGAAAAGACTCTGATAATCAGTGTTTTGAAAACAAATTTATAATATATTGATGAACTTGACATGTTTTTAAAAGTTTAAATTTGTTTGAAATTTTGGATGTTACAACCGACGTCATTGATTTTGGTGGGGTTTGGGACTCCTATCTTCCTTTAGTTGAGTTCTCTTATAACAACAACCATCATACCAATGTCAGTATGCCCGCATTCGAGCTCCTTTATGGTCGAAGATGTCGAACTCCTATTTGTTGGCGAAAAGTGGGACAGAGGGTTATGGGGAGCATGAAGGTCGTGCTCAAGACGACTGAAGTTATACAACTGGTACGTCAGAGGCTTTTGACAGCATAGAGTCGTTAGAAGAGTTATGCGGATTGGCGTCGCTCTGAGTTGGAGTTTCAATTGGGGGATTTTGTGCTCCTGAAGGTGTTACCCTGGAAGGGTGTTATCCGCTTCAGGAAGCAGGTCAAGTTGGGTCCCAGGTTTACTGGCCCTTTTTGAGTGTGGCCCGTGTGGGCAAGTTGGTTTATCGGTAGGAGCTATCGGAACCTGAGTTAGATCCATGATACCATCCATGTATCCCAACTAAGGAATTGTATATCCAATGAGACAGCTGTGGTTCCCTTGGAGGACTTTTAGGTCGATGATCTCCTGAATTATGTGGAAAATCATGTAGCCATTTTGGATTAGAAGGTGAAGGCCTTGACGAAAAAGGTTGTGAACTAGGTCAAAGTTCAATGGCAGGGCTGTAGGGGTTTGTAGTGGATATGGGAACTGGAGTCCAAGATGTGTGAGTAATATCATGAGCTGTTTCTGAGGGATGACTTTAAGGACAAAGTCTGATCTTAGTGGGGGAGAATTAAAACATACCGAAATAAGGTATACTTATTATTCTTGAATCATTCCTTAAAATGTGAGAATTAGTCCCTTAAGGAGAAAAGTTTGAAAAAGTAGTACGCGAGGCATACATATGAGTACGAGCAGCGTACTCCTGCACCATGCAAAGTCATGGAGGACCACCTTGTATGTTGGGCATAACCATGGTACGCTGGGCATACTAGGCTCAGGTGCAACACCCTAATTTCGAGTTGGTCCTTATATAAAGAAGATTATGGTCTCATTTCTATCCACCCTTATCTGCCTCCAAACCACTTTAAAACACTAATCTTGTGTGAGTGGCTAGTGTGTGTATGTATGTTTTCATCTTTTCAGTGTTCTTGGATCTTGCAGTTGATGAAGAAGTTTAGAGCAGAAGAAGAATGTGCCATCAAGTTTAGAGATCCAGAAACTTTTCAGATTTGTGCATCATTTTCAGGTATAATGCTTATACCTTGGCTAGTGTTTTTCTAGATCTCTTTAGTTTAAGATTTATGAGCTTAAGCCCCAAATTTTGGACGTTTTTGAGTTTAGGACTCTCCACGGAGTTTAATCTGTCTTTTTATGCATCTTAAGGACCTAGATTAATAAAAATGCTTGCTTGACCTTCCCTTTTGACTCATCCATGAGTAAAGTGGCTTGGAATGGATGAAATGATGTTTTAGCCTCTCATAGCCATGCAAAGGATTAAAGCTCATGAATTTATGGATTAAATGATTCTAAATAAGGAAGATCTGTAGTTAGAATGATTTTCTTAATGGATTAAGACGTCAAAATGGTGGATTTGAGGGTTTATGGAGTACGTCGTGTGTACTCCTAGCTACGCGCAATGTATCCTAGCTTCACCTTGTCGCACACTTACCTTACTATACACCTAGCGTACTCGCTGGGTGTTGACCTTCTGTTAGTATTCGTTGACTTTGACATTTGGTCAAATGTTGGGTTGTTAGGACTAAGGGAAGG